TGTCCAGGCTATTCCCTTCCCCAAACATAATGTGTTTGAAAGAAATTTTCAATCCTTGGGAGATTGTCGTAGAAATCATCCCACCGGACACAAACTATGCTACAACATTAAGAAAAATAAAACTTAGCAAACTTTTATATTAAATAAAAGAAATGTAAACTTACACAAGTAAAATAAATTACTTAAGCTAGTGAACTAAAATTATTACACATTATGTCAGGGATGCATTGTTGAACAAATTTTCCCAATCTGATACAAACTTCATCCATCTTTACTTGAGTATTTATCTTTTATTTAATAAACTGTAAAAAAGGAAAAAAAAAACCTTAAAATGAATAAAATAATACTAAAGTAAAATTATTATGCAATACCAACTCTTTTAGTGAATGAATCTGTTGATCCATTCACAATATATCCCTCATATATTTCATTTATTTCATCCTATAGTATTCGCATTCAACTGATCTTCACATTCCTTGTAGGGCTTTGAGGTTGATTGAAAGTCGTGCTCTGAAGATGGAAAGATTCAAGTTATCAAAAAATGTGCAATGTAAATACAAAGCCATTAAAACCCAAACCAAAAACCACTTAACCAAAATAAACAAATAGCAATTCCATTAAAACTCAAACTTAATATCTATACTAAGAAATAATGGATTTAAGAGAAAAATAGATCCAATAATATGATCAGCTCCTTAGTGGTATTTAATAATAAATAAATAAATTATAAAACTAGCAACAAGATCCATTATTATGAGATGCTTCCTAGCTAGCAACAGAATTATCTTGACTGTGTCATACAAGGTCCTGATCGATGGAGGAGCAGAAAGGAAATTACAAGAGAGCTATGAAAATTCTGGCTAAAGGATAAACATAGTCGTCAGAACAGAAACAAATCAATCATCCCAAAGATAACTAAATAGAGAAAATTTCTAGTTATAAACTTTAGTCACACAAGAGGTAATTCTTTCTACAATTGCTCTCTAAATGCTTTCGTTATCCATAACAATCAAATGAAAATTCGATTCAAAATGTTTGAGCTATGTCTTATGGAGCTCGTTTAACATTATTAGTCCAATTGAATGAAAAATATTTATCTTTGGTAAGTTTCTTTTACTACCAAAATGCATGGACTAACTTGAAGCTTGATGTCACTTCCTACTTGCTCTTATATTGAAGTTTTTCTTTCTAATTGAACATCAATGGTGGTTATTCCTGTGTCCGAATGGATTCCACAGCAAAACCATAGTCATCATAATCAAGGTTTTAAATATTAATGTCCGATGGAAATGTCGAGGTCTCAATTTTATTCAGAGAAACAATAATGGGTTGTTATACAGAATTAATAAAGAGCAAAGCAATTAATAAAATCTAGGGAAAACTTTATGGAGAAGCGATCGTCCTAGGGAATTGACTTCACCAAATGAATTACAAGTAGGTAATTAAACAAGCCAAGATTGAATATCGCAATTTATTGGGTGTATTGCCCTAAACTCATAGTTTGTATTTATGTAAAAATAAATTTATATTCAATAAAGTTATATTAAATCAATTTGTTGTTGTATTCATAACATTGCATTGTCTAATCCAATAAACTAAACATCCAAGGTTATTGTCATGTAACCGGACAGTATATATACTGGGTATATATTTGATATACCCTCGATATACAAGTGGATAATATCCCGAGAATAACCTAAAGGATCTATAGTATATGGATAAGGTTGAGTACATTATCATGGCAACACTATGAATATGACCTACTTTGTAAATGTTACAGACAATCCGATCCAGGTCATTCGTGTGGAGACATGTGAGTAAGGGTATCCTATACAATGAGTTTGTATAAGACCGGACCACAAAATAGTCAATCTTTAGATGTAACACCGTTGACTAACAAATTGCTATTTCATAGGATGACCAGACAACTTATTCTTAATCCTGAGTGAGTTATGGACTCCTGCCCGTGAGGGATCGTCCTTTAATTTGTATGGGTGAGAGTGGTCTGGGTTGCCGATGTAATAATCCTACCATTTTGGGGACGAGACCAAGTGGGGAGCTGGGAACATAACTACACAAGATGGAACTCACTCCTCCCCAACTTTAGGGGAGTGGATGAGTGTTCTCTTTAGTGCTGACTCCAGGACTTGAATAAGGGGCCTTATGCGATCACTGACTCGAGAGGGACTTCTGGTTATTAGTTGGACCATAACCGGGTTGTTCATTAGAGGATCAACGGTACTTAAGATACAAGATGTAACACAGGAGTAAAACGTTAATTTGACCCATCCATGGTTATGAACGCTCATGAAGGAATGACTTGCTGGTAATGATCGATATCTGTGGACACAAAAATATTCTATAGTGAGAATAGTTCAGCTGCGGGTTTTTAGTGGTGTAACCCGTAGTTTGAAGGGATGTGATTCCCGGAGCGGAAGCGGATTTTCGTTACTGATTTTAGGGATACAAAATCGAAATTGAAAGAGGGAAAATACAGGG